AGCATATGTCAGATTTTTCTTAATTCGTCCATTCAATGTCTGTAATTTATATATACCAGGTCATACAATACTATGAATATAAAATGGTCTATCAAACTTATCCTTAAATTTGTCTCTATGTACATCTGATCGTGAAACATTAAATAGAAGTACTTTGTCTCTGATCTGATAATATATGCTCTTGTATATTTAGTTATAACGTTTCTTTTGCTTTTGTTGTTGTTGCAAAATATTCTGTTATGCATCATGTCGATGTTATTGTAATTGTATTATTAGAAGATAATAATATTGTTCTATTATTTGTGACAAATTTTGTGTTGTAGTGGGCTGTGATACTTGAAGATCTATAAGTAGTATAGCATGTCATCCATATAGTAACTCAAAAGGTTTATGCTTAGTTATTTCCTGTTGGGCTGTGTGATATGCAAATAAAGCTGATGAGAAATAGACATTCCATTCTCCTTAATGTTACTTAGCATACTTAACCAAAATAGTACACAAAGTCTGATTGAAACATTCAGTCAATCCATTTATCTGAGGATGATATGATGAAAAAAGTCGATGTTTTGTTTCTATAACATGTAATAATGCAGCTTTTAACTTATTTTGAAATAACATAGCTATATCAGTTAATATTTTCTTTGAGGTCCCATGTCTACACACAATTTCTTGAAAAATAAATTATGCTGTAATTTGTGTAGTATAATCAGATACAGAAGCAGCTTCAGCTCATTTAGTGAGATACTCAGTAGCAATAATGATGTATCTGTTGCCTTATTTTGTTCATGATAGTAATTCTACATAATCAATCCCAATTCAGTCAAAGGGTTGTCCAACTGAAATTGAATGTAAAGCTCTTATCGTTGAGGCATTCCTTGTCGCTAGCATATGTTATATGTTTTCACCCATTCCTTTACTGTATTATACATCTTTGACCTATAATATTTGTGTACTAATTTGTTAAAGGTTATGTTACATCTTAGATATTCTTCTAGAAGTTTATTGTGTATGTTATGTAAGAGAGATTCAACTTCAGTTAATTTAATAACAAGAAGGGAGTTCAAAGGATTTTGTGAGTTTTATCAATAAAGAAGGTGATTGTAAACAGTATAATGTTTTACTTATTTTTGTATAGAGAGTTATTGTATAAGTGTAGATAATTCAGGATATTTTGATTAAGTTAAATATTTGATATAATTTTATATTTATTTTTAAATATTAAAGCAGTTAGTCACACTGCTAACGATTTCACTTTTACTCTAAATTAATTATAATTTGCTATTTTGATTAATAGAAAGGCAATCTAGAAAGGGTATCAGCGTTTTGATATATTTTGTCTTTACGGTAGTGAATATTATAAGGGAATTCTATAATTCATATGATCTATCTCATAAATTTATATGAGGGATCAGGTTTATTGAATAATCATTGCAATATAGCATGGTCAATGATTAGATTGAAAGGTTGATGTAAAAGATAAGTTCTATGATCTAAATAGTAGTGAGACATTCAAGTTCAGTAGGTACATAACTTCTTTCAGCATTATTAAAAGTTCAACTAGCATACGCGACTACATGCTCTTTTTGCTGATCATCCAATTGAGTTAAAACAGCACCTAGTCCTATATATGATCTGTTAGTAAATAGCAGAAATTTCTTAGAGAAGTCAGGATAAATAAGAATAGAGGCTGTAATAAGACATTTCTTTAAATATTCAAATGCTTGTTACTGAGTTTTCGTCCATTAGTATACAGTTTCCTTTTTAAGTAGGAGATGTAAAGATGCAGCAATAGTTAAAAAGTTTTGTATAAATCGATGATATTATGAAGCAAGTTCTAAAAATCTGTGAAGTTCAGTGATATTAAAAGTTATTGAAAAATCTCTAATCTTTTCAATTTTAAAAATGTCTAAAGTGATTCCTTGTCCATTTACAATGTGTCCTAAAAAGGTAAGTTTAAGCTTTTTAAATTTGTATTTATCTCATCCTAATTTTAATCCAGCCTTCTTTAGTCATTAAAATATATTCTTCAGATAAGCGAGATGTTTTTCAAGTGTTATTGAGAAGATAATAATATCATCCAAATAGACAGCCACATATTTCTCAATTTCTTCTCTAAGGACTTTATTCATAAGCTTTTGAAATGTTACTGGTATATTAGTTAAGCTAAAAGGCATGACAGTGAATTCATAGAGTTTATGATTAGAAATGAATGCAGTTTTTTGCTGATCTTTTAGTGTTATGACGACTTGCCAGTATCCACTAGCTAAGTCAAGTATTGTAAAATATTTAGCTTTGCTAAACATATCTAAAAGTTTATCAATGTGAAAGAGGATAACAGTTCTGTTGAGTCATACTGTTAAGTTTTTAATAGTCAACACAGAATCTTAGCTTGCCATTTTTCTTTCTAACTAAAACTACAGAAGAAACCTAAGGACTTTTTGAGGGTTGTATTAATTTATTCTTCAACATCTTATCAATTTCTTTCTTGATAAAGTCTTGTTCAGAAGGAGCAACTTGATATGCTTTTTGACGAATTGGTATATTAATTTCTAATGGTATATAATGTGTTTCAATATTAATATGTTCTAATTGAGATAGATCATCTGTAAATAAATCATCATTTTGCTTAAGAAAGATAGCTAACTGTTGTTGTTATTTTCCTTCCAAAGAGACGATAATTTTAAGAATCTTAAGTTTTTTCTCAAGAATATTTGAAAGCAATTGCAAGTGTTTCTACTCTTTTTGACATAATTTGCAAATATCTGTTGGCTTGTCAAATCAATTATAATACCAACATCGATTTCCTGATCCTTACCAGTGGTATTTTTATTTTTCATTGATAAGGGTTGAATATCAAACTTTTGCTTTAAATTCTCATAATATTGTGAAGAATACCTTTGTTTTTGAATTAGAATTTAATCTGGTTTAGCTTCAATAAAGATTAGTTGACTAATATTATCTCTTAGAACTGCATAGTATCATTGTGAGACTAGAATTTCTTCTTCATATTTCTCATTTGCAGGATTTATTACTAGTGTTGGTTGTTGAAATTGATTGAATACAGGTTTTTTCTAACAGGTCATTAGAACTTAATGTATAATTCTATTCCATTTAAAAATAAAAGCTTCTTTGTTTTAATGTAATTGTGCTTGACACTTGATAAGCCAATCATTAATAGCCACTATATAATAATCATTTAATTCAGTGATATCAACATTTATTGGGATTTCAACATTATCAATTTAAATTAATATATTTTGCACTTGTTCCAGTAGTTAAAAGCATCTATCTTGTATATTGATCATTGTAATTTGAGAAGAATCTTATATTTGTCATTCTAATTGCTGTAAAAATGATTTAAATATTATACTTCCTGCTAATTCAGAATCTAAAATTAAATATATTAGTTTTTCATCCACATGAGCATAATAATAAATAGCTTCAATTACCTTTAAGGAGTTTTGATCTTCTCTGGTATACTCACTCTCTAGAGACATCATTAGTAATTTAAATGAGAATATAATAGATAAACAGGAGTAGATGTCATGTAAGTGGGTTGTAGTAATAAAGTACCCGTTGGTGATGCATAAATATTTTGGTTACCAGGCATCATTAGAGTATGATATGAAAGCGCAGCATGTTGGCCTCCATTTATTCTAAATCTATTTTTAGTTAGACATAAATTTTCCCAATATTCATGTTGCTTACAATGAAGGCAAGGAGTTTTTGGTTAAGTAGTGTAATTTCTTGCAAAGTATCCAAATTGTTTACAATTATAACACTTATCACCATTTTTATAATTATTCTTTGATGCTCAATAATCTTTAGAAAGATGTCTTGCTTTCTTATAATTATAATAGTTTTGTCTATTCTTTCTAGTTGTATTATTGTTCAATCAATTTCTCTAGTTATTATTTATTCAATTATTGGTAGATTTAGGAGCTGCAGTAATATTGAACAATAAATGCTTAAACTCTTTAATTAACTTTTTGTTGTTTTTATCAATGAGCTATTGCATGTTGGCAGGTTGTTCTTCTTCTTTTGATTCTTTACTGTGATTCAAGTAAGCTTTACTCAATAAATAACCTAATAAGATAGTATTATGAGACAATATTGTTTCAACTAAACAAGCTCTATTAATTGCTTCCTCTAAGTCATGTGGAGTAGTAGCAACAAGATCAGTATAGAATTTAAGTCATAAGCCTTGAAGGAATTGTTCCATCTTTTCGTCTTCTGAAGTATTGTATTTTAGGTCTAATTTTAAATATAAGGATTCTACTTCTGCAGCATATTCCTCTACAGATTGTTCAGACCTCTGCTTGTATCATCAAAGTGCAGATCGCTATTGCATTCATCTATAAGTGATGCAATAATGTTTGAAGAAATGATAGATAAAAGATCAATGTTTATGTTATTGATTACTGTCATTATTCTAATAGCGTAAATCCTTTTCAAATTTTGTTTTATTAAACTAGAAGAGAGCTGATCCTTTCATGAAGAATGATACAAGTATCAATCTTCTTTTGTTAGAAATGTTATTAGCTTCACATACATGGTTGTATCATTTCAACCAGTTACGAAGATTTTAGTTACCTCCTTTGAATGTAGAAAGATCTACAAATCTAGCTTCTCTTGAATCTGAGAATCTTACAGAATGTAAGACATCTTGTAATCTCTTTAGCATTTAAAAGAGTTAAAGTTTGTCAGGCAAATCAATATTATTAATATTTTCAATTATTGGATCAACTTCGTCTCCATTTTCAGGAAACTATCACTAGAGTCTAAGCTAGAAGAGGAACTATCATAATAGAAAGGTCAGTATGATTATTTACAATGACTTTTTCTGTAACTTTTTTTTTCGCCTATTTCTGTTTGCATAGTGTTATCCATTTGTCTATTTTTACCTTTTACATCAAAGGATTTAGCATCATCATTATTCTTATTTTCAGAATCAGAAATAAGATAAGAGTGATATGCTTTCTATTTTTGGAGCTAGTTCCCTAATTATCAAATTCTACACTAAAGCTATAGCTACTTCTTAGTCTTGCATTACTAGTGTCTCTGAGACAAGAGAGACTGCTACTTCTAACATCAGGTTTGTGTTCAGAATCTGAGTTAAGGTTGGTAGTATCTAAATTATCATTAAAGTTTAAGAGTTCCTTCTCTCTTCTTTAGCAGAAGATTGTTTACTTATACTTGACTGAATAGCGGTAACAGTTCTTAGATTTGTCATTTGTGCAGTTTTTTGATAATGATTTTTTTTTTAAATCTTCAACATAAGATCTAATAGCTTGATCTAAAGTAGTAGAAGGTAGTTTATTATACAGTCCCTGATGAAAAGAATGATAGTACAATCTTTTACTATATAATTAACATTTTTTTGTAAGGATTTGTATAAATAATTACATAGTATTTTATATGTATTACT